ATCAACAGACTTATCCAGCAAGAGGACGTCGTGAAGAGGGACGGCACGCTCACGTAAGGCCGGTGAGTTGAATACCCGATTGAACGCTTCTGTGAACATTCTCACAGATTTGGCCGAACCCGGAGATCCAGGATCGTCGCTCTGTGAGTTCAATATGCTCGACTTCTGCTGGGGAGTGACATTATCACCCTGGCTCACCATATAGCGGATAAGTGCAGTCTTGGTGCATTTCTCAATGGCGAGCCTATCCAGCCAAGAATCGAGGTATAGTAGTAGCGTAGTCGCGCGCTCCTTTTTAATGGTCTTAGTCACCTTCTGATGCCTGCTAAGGGTGGCAAAACCAGAAGTCTTGTCCATGTTCTCCAAGTTCTCAAGCCATCGACGGTAGATGCCCTCTTCATTGTCCGCAAGATCTCGCAGATGGGGGACATAGGTGAGCATGGTATTTGGAGAGAGAATGTTCTTCCTAATCTCAACATGATGAAAGCTGTAGGAAGGAACGGTATCGACGTTGGTCTTGATGCAGATGACTTGATAAAATTCACGCTTTTCTTGCTTTCCGGATCTGCCCTGGCCTACTTGCTATGCGTTGGTTAGCCTGCCGCTCCTCTTCCAGTCGGGGTTACCAGATTAGGAGCGTGAATAACCTGTTTAAAGGAGTCTTGGGGGCCAACCTTAGTCCTAATTTTCATTGTATCTGATGACTTCCCGCCAGTCTCGACCGGGGTGCGCCTCATATCGGCAAACCAGTCCTTCTTGCTCGTAAATTGCTGCACAGGTGCTTCCTTCTTCCAGGCCGTGTATATTAGGCGGGCTGTAAGGTTAGCCCCATCGGTACCGATCTCATCAGAGTAGCTCCGTATTTTTTCTTCGAGCTCATCAGTGGTCCACTCGTGCTTCTTCGGAGTATGGTGTTTGGGTGTTCGGTGGCTTCCCGGCGGATGATGATGAGCTGATGGAGGTGTCACATCTGGGACGTTCCTACTGCTACTAGTCGATCTAACCGGCAACGAAGCCATCTTTGCATCCTGGCTGGGCGTCTTCGATGCAGAACCCTTAGCGGATCGAGTAGGCGTCGCAGCATGGATAGACGTAGAGTCTTCCTGCACAGATGCTGCCGGTGGGCTTCCAAACTTGCGAGTGCGTGACCCTGGTTGCGGTTGCGGTTGTGGTTGTGATTGTGGTTCAGGTTGTGATTGCCTACGCTCCTGAGACGTACCATCCAAGGCACTAGAATCTTCAGAGTCGGACACGACCATAGTAAGGTCAATGTGTTCTCTAGTCATAGTGCCGCTGTGGCTGCGGCCGGGGGGCGGCCGCTTCCAAAGTTCAAAGCAGAGTGTTGATCATATATCAAACCACCTTTGAGTGGAAATTAGAAGAGATGATAAAAAAAGGTACGCTTAGCACACCAGAAATAGCAACACATCTAAACAAACTTGATGGCCGGCCCCCTTATGATTAGCCGTATAAGAGCTGTGATAGAACAATTAGTATGATAACTTTACAAAGCTAAAGGAAGACCGACCAATAGTATTTAACAGTTAGTGAGTGAGGGTAGGTAATGTAGGCAAGGGACAAATCACGAAGCAGTTTCTGGAGTTGTATTAGCTGAGGTGAGTTTTAACTTTCACTAACGCGTCGACGAGATGAGGCGACACGACCCGAGATGAGTTTATGGGTTTCCTTATCTAATCGTCGGAAAAGGAGGGTGGCTGCTATGCATGTACTTGTGGCTAGTGCACACTCCACTATCTCCACACCGATTTTTGTATTAGAGGGTGCAGGCATGTCAATACACTACATACATGTAGCTCATCATCAAGTCAAGAGCTACATAGTCAAATATACGGTTGAAGGATTGCTTCTATATACACTACCTAGGTAACTACCTAACCTCATCGCTTAGTCAGGGGCTAGTTAACTCGTATGCGCAACATCCGTAATAGGTGCTCATGTTCGAAGACGGCGTAGTCGAAGACTTGCATAAAAGGTCAGGTACCTGGTGCCAGTATACATACATCATACATGTAGCTGCTGCGGCATACGGAACATTGAATACAGTGAGGTACATACACGTATGTACCTACGTACCCATTCAATTGATTGACATTTTAGGCTTAGTGCCTCCAATTGGAACGCAGTTCGGCAGCGATGACGTAGCAGTAAGGGGACCAGCCCTTTTGTTAGGTACCCACTTTTGATTGTCTGAGCTTCTAACAAGCCCGCAGCCCAAGCCGCCGTAACCCACATCCAGCGCATCTCACCCAGCTCCCACCCCTATGGACCCATCACCGTCCCCGTCTTCCATTCATAAATAGAAAGGTGTTGTACCTTACGTATGCGATCGTCCAAATCCGTCCACCTTTTTAACGACCAAGATCGCCGACTAAACCCCATCCACCTTTCCCACATCTCTCTTGCAGTCCTTTTGAGTATCACATCCCCAGATCCCACATCCCACATCCCGCCACCTTGTCCCGCCGTCTGTCTAGAGCGAACGTCCCAGCCAAGCAACAGCTTCTTCACAGCCCAAATCCGCTTGAGGCTCTTTGACGTCGCTTCGTAACACAATAACATCTGAGCTGAACACCATCGCAAATCCTCGCATCACCCTTCGTCAATCCACCTCCCACGATGCATCGTACGTACTCTATGCGCCAGACTCGGGCGCCTACTGCCTCGCAGATCCAAGTAAGCCTATCTGCTTTATACAATGCGCCCTGTGACAACACGGCTGACCTCGTTGCGCACAGAACCCACCTCCCCCGCCATCGTCCACGAAGTCTGGCCGACTATTCGGAAAGGGTGGACTTGGTAGGCTTTTCAGAATGTCTTCAACTTACGATTATCTCCCCGATTCCTCTGTCCAGCATTATTATCCTTGGAACCCAAGCAGCTAACCACCAAGCTAGGACACGCGCTTCGCCGCAATGCAGCTGGCGCCTTCGGGCCCGACCTGGCTAAGAAGCTCACGCAGCTCGTGAAGATGGAGAAGAATGTGATGCGCAGCCTCGAGCTTGTCGCAAAGGAGCGCATGGAGGTCGCTGTATGTGGCGCTCCTCCATTCAAACTGTACGCGGCTTGCTGACGCATCTATCTAGCAACAATTGTCGCTTTGGGGCGAGCATGCCGATGAAGATGTGTCTGACGTCACCGACAAGCTTGGTGTACTCATCTACGAAATCGGCGAGCTCGAGGATCAGTACGTCGATCGCTACGACCAGTATCGTGTCACCATGAAGAGCATTCGCAACATCGAGGCGTCTGTGCAGCCTAGCCGAGACCGTAAGTACTGCTAAGTAAATAACTACTAGATACATCCAAGTACTGACTCTAGAGTAGGCAAGCAGAAGATTGCAGACCAGATTGCTCAGCTCAAGTACAAGGAGCCCAACTCTCCCAAGATCGTCGTCCTCGAGCAGGAACTCGTCCGTGCCGAAGCCGAGTCGCTTGTTGCTGAAGCTCAACTATCCAACATCACCCGTGAGAAGCTCAAGGCCGCCTACGCGTACCAATTCGACGCCCTGCAAGAGCATTGTGAGAAGGTCGCAATCATCGCTGGCTATGGCAAGCATCTTCTTGAGCTGATTGACGACACACCCGTCACTCCCGGCGAGACCCGTGCTGCTTACGACGGCTACGAAGCTAGCAAGGCTATCATTCAGGACTGTGAAGATGCGCTGACTAACTGGGTGTCATCGAACGCAGCCGTGAAGCCCAAGCTATCTACACGAGCCCGCACCCTCTCCATGCGACGTCGCAACAACATCAAGGCCCGATCCGAAGGCCTAGATCTGTCCGCCCAAGACCAGCCCCTCAACGACCGTGATTCGTGGGTCGCCGCTGGCGAGCACAAGAATCACGAGTATGAGGACGAAGAAGTGGAGGAGGACGAGCAAGCCCACTCCGTGCTGGATTCCGATGGCGGCCTGAACGGCGAGCATCGAGGCAGAGCACCCGAGATGACAGCCTAGGCAATTTACATGGCCCCTACTCGAACTCATTATTAATGTCTAATACGAAAAGAGGCGAGAAAAGTTGAGAACTGATTTGGAAACGTGGTCTGTTTCTTGGCACAGGCACACATATTTTGTTCCCACGGGTATTGAAGCACACGATGGAATGGAAGAGATAATTGTACGGACGACTGGACAGGTGACGAACGCGCGTATCAGGGGTAGCCAGAAGAGCTTCCATACACAAACACATCTCAGGCTAGGAGAGGGACTGGCCCTCTTGCATTCTTCCGAGCAATGGAACAATCGCGCATTCTTGTACTTATAGTGATGAAACGAGATCTGCCAGTGCTTTTCCGGGGATGATGATATACGAGATGGGCTTTGCAAGAGAGAGAAACAGAAAGGCGTTCTTGATTATTTTCATGTCTCCTCTTGACGGTGTGCACTGTAGATAATGTTTAATATTGTCTTGACCTGTCGCCTGGCACTTTTATGTTCCTTGTGAATCGCTTCGGATTTTTTTCCCCCTCGCTTGTGCAATGGCAGATGATTTCTCGAATAACCAAAATACAATTCTAACTCTTCTAGAGCATATCCGGTCCAACACGATCGGCTTGATCGTAGGTATGGCCTCCAAGATGTTCGTATTCATTGTGAACGATACCGTAAACGCTGGGCGTTAGAGCCCCTTTCCCGGTATTATTCTAAAAGGGGCTAGCTACCATGTCTAAGGGATACCGCAATTGACGACTTCCATCACGTAGAGGGTGTCGACGTACACTCACTCGTTGACAAGTGCCACTGGTGAATTTACTGGTTTACGGAAGACAGTGGATTGAGAACGACTTGGTGATGTGATGTGGGTTGATGAGACTGCCGGACAGAAAAGAAGCCATATTCCCTCCGCAGAAGAGACAAAACGTGAAAAGAAGAAATATCCAAGGACATTAAAGAAAACAATGAAGGATGAAGGAAAAAAAGAAACCTGCCATCAGTTCGTCTCGAACGCGAAACCTCGCGCCCGAAAAAGAAATCGATTGCACCCACTGGGATTTGCACCCAGGTCTTTCCCGTGAACCACTGCGCCATTGCTGTGAAAGGAATGAGCTAACTTCTGCTCTATGGGTGCTTCGTGCTAGAGACGCGTCTGTTGTCTATTATAACCCTGGGTCGGGCGTGGTGCGGATTGGATGAAAGGGGCATGCGCGCTTGAGGGAGTCGCGTCGCGTCGCGTTTGGGGGTTTCCCGTCGACGCGGAGGCGTGGTTTCCTTCTTAGTGAATCACGGTACCGTCTGCTCAATAGGGTAACTACCTAGGTACCTGCGTACGGTAGATGACTTTCAGTCTTTTTTAGGTATGGTTGTTCACGATCCCTCGAGTCTTCTCTCGATACCTTGTCTGCGGCCATACTAGCATTGGATACCTAGAAGCCGCTTCTGCTATATTGGAGACATGGCATACACACTACAATCTGAACGAATCGGGAGCCCCTTAGCAAGACCTGGCTCATCATCTTTACATATAACTTCTGAGTTTCGTTCCAGAGATAGGTATATGGATCCAAGCTGCCTTCTCAAGTCCCGCCACTGACCTCCCCAAGAGCCCCTTTACCTCTAAAATAGGAACAACACCATAGTAGGCCAAAAGACATTACTACACTCTACTTTTCCCCTTTATCTATCTCCAGGCTCCAGCTAATATACACCATCAGCTGCAACAGTCCACTCATATTGTCGCTGGTATTATAAGCCCACATTAGATACGATACAAGCACAATATACTTCCAGCCGAGTTGACGAATACGATATCTTGTATAAGCAAGAAATGCGATACCCGCTTCTAGACCAAAGAGAGCCACAGCCACACTCTCCCGCAAGGCTATACTACGAAGAGCATCTTCCAAGGAAACATTCGTCTCTTCTTACTCAACATAGCAGACTAAAAGACGAGAATAGATAGGCCAGCCGGGATACAGCAATACAAGAACACACTCTTCGAGCTGAGACTTATGCTGTCCGGGACTAGAGCACTCTTGTATGGTGACGGAATATATGGAATGGCTGGAGAGGATTGAAGCTGGTACATATATATGTCAGGTATATTTAATCACGCAGAAACGGTCTGATACTCGAACATTTCCATCCAATCTACCTACATAACGAGACTCTCACGTCTCAGTAGCAGGAACCCGAATGTAACGCCAGCGCCCTTTGGGCGATATCTTAGCTATCTCATATTACCCCTATCCAAGCCTCTATTCATGCTTTCCCACTTCCTCTCCTTAGCTCACCCAGTCTCTCATCACATCATCCATCACATGCCCTCTTTCTCAGGTACACGCTAATGATAATCCGCCCTCGTCCCCAACAGCGTCCTCAAGCTCTTCTCCCCGGCTAATTCCGCCTTATCCCTTACCAACCTTTGCTTGAGCCTCTTGACGAGTCCCCTTTCCGGCTTCTGCACCTGGAGGCCAAACGACCGTCCCATGTACGGACCTTCTTCCGTGAACGCTACCCTCTGCGCTCTTGCCCTTCTATTGTCCCACCCGTCCGTCGGACTATCCGTGGCATGGTAAATCGCGACGACCTGGCCTTCCACCGTGACGAAAGAGCCGTGCCCGGGCCCAAACGGCCCCATCCCATGTCTCTTCGTTTGTATGAGCGGCTCTTCGCCCTTCTCCCATGACGCGGGGTCCAGCGGGTCGCCTCCGATGTACTTGAGCAAGCCCATCTTGTAGTTGTGGGTCCAGCTGCCAGCACAACTGTACACGAGGCCCTGCCAGGAGATCCCTCCATCAGGAGACCTCAAGAACTGCGGGCCCTCATTGATGCCGTGATCTGTACCATTACCCTCGCGCGTGATTTCCCAGTTGTGCTGAGGCGTAGAAATCACAATCGCGGGGCTAGCCGCGCTTATCGGGTCCGCGAGCTTCATAATAAAAAGCTGCTGGATAAGATCCGAGTCGTCTAGACTATCCAGTGGCCAGCCAGAGTAGACAAGATACCAGTGTCCGTTGAGCTCGAAGACTGTCCCGTCGATGGCCCAGTGGTCTGGCATCTGGTGGATGCGACCCAGGAACTCCCACTGGTCTACGCACGGGTCTTCGGAGCTAGGCGGCCCACCCAAAACGTACATCCGATGGCTTTTGTTCCCGTGGGCCGGGTTCGCGGCTGCATAGTAGACGTACCATCGGCCGTGAAAAGCGTGCAGCTCCGGAGCCCAGAGTTCGGCTGAGTGGTCTGTGCCTTGGGGCGGAGTCCTGAACAGCAAGTTAGCACGTGCGTGTGGTTTGGGGAGATATACCTAAGATCCTAAGTCCGGAGGCCAACCATACCAAATTACATGTCTGTCAGCAGCGCTCTCTATATCCGCCAAGCTGCGAGAGGACCAAATCTCAACCCTGTTTCCGGCAGTAAACGTCTGTGGACTGTGTTAGCTTTTCCTTGACTGAAGGTAATATGGTAAGGCGTGAGGATATTGGGGTGGCATACTAAGTAGTAGCGCCCTCTAAAGACAGTCACGAACGGGTCCGGGGTGCCTACGGAGGTGATGGCGAGAGTCGAGTTATCGTATTGCATGGCTGCGGCGGGACCACCTAGCGACAGTATCGACGTTAACGCGCGGCTCGCACCGGTTAGGGCCTCCTTCAGGAAGATATACATCATTACGTTCGTTGGGTGTGAGGATGAGACGTTCGACCGGTGACGTAGTCCCAAACCCTGCTTGTTTCAGTGTGGCGATCCGCGAGTCTGTAGTCTGTGATTAGGTTCCACGAAGGGGAAGTGCTTAAAAGTTGGGTGCTCCTTGTGAAGGTGGGCGAATCGAAAGGCGAACGGGGTAAGATGATGGGTGGACGTTGTTGGGTTTCCGGCTGCTGTAAGGTTATGACCAGAGGTAGTTTGTCCCGGGAGTCAAAGGTGGCCCGGAGACAGCTGACGACGCAAGGTGGAGGATAAGATCAAGTCAGTAGGTATGCTAGTTTGTGCATCGCCAGCACCGGCGGCGGGTGTAACATCGAGATAAATGTAGCAAATATGATTTTCGGAAGATGACTCGATATTTAACAAAATCCCAAAAACTGAACTTGTGCAACGGACAATCGAAGCTTCCCAACCGCAAGCCCGCGTAAGTTCCCACCGATAACTCCTGAGACGACCGTTGCAGCTGCCCAATGTAAATTTACACTTTCCTGCCTGCGTAATGAATACGAACATGAACATGAATTGAATGGATGCTTTATAATCCCGTCCTAGCGCCGCGCTACGCATAACCCCAGATAATGATCATCTTTTCTGTATGGAGCGTATATCCTCCAACGCCTGAGGAAAAGCAAATGGTATAATGATAGTGAGGAGATAAGTCAATTCAACGTAAATCTCATCCCGACAAAGAAAAGCCTTGAACAGTGTGTTAGCATTCTAAGGCCGACATGCGCCTGGCTCATGATGTTGGAAGAAAAAAAAAATCAGATCCCCCAAATACGCCTTAAGTCGAGTAAAAGTCACCAGCGTAAGCGTGCTCTGCTTCCCATTTGAGGAAATCTCCCAAGTCGTGACCGAGATTGTATCCCATGGGCACAACGTCCATATCATCGCCCTCTTCGTTACGGATGACCCGAAGATCTAACATGGGGCTCTGCGGAAGACTGGCGTAACTCTCACGGGAGCCGCAATCCTTGGATCCGTTGCTTTCTTGGTCATCAGGAAGCATCTTTGAGACATCCACTTCGAGACCGGACATGTCGCGATCCAGCTGGCGGCTCTCAGCCGCCGCCTTGCGTCGAAGTTCCTGCTGCCAGCGGTGGTGCGGGCTGTACGGGTTGTCCCTCTCGATCTCAGTATACGACACGTCCGAGTAGTCCTCGCCCGACGTCGTGCTTGTAGGACTGGGCATTTCGAATTGCTGCGTGACAAGTCCTCCGGGACGACTGAAGTTCCATGAATCGAACCAGTTGACGAGCTCCTCAATCTCTTCTGCCTCTCTGCGGCGGATGATGTCGTCGCTTTCGGAGAAGAAGTCACCGGCACCTCCGGAGATGGCCATCTGGAATGCTGTCCAGTCCAGTCCATCGTCCGCCCCAAGTTTCATGTCTGCCATGAGATCACACTTTGCTAGTCGGATTGGACCGTGTCGGAATTTAGGGCTGGTCATGGAGCATGGTGATGCTTGAAGAAAAACGTAATTAGAATCGGCGACCATGTCTCGGCTGCCTCCGAAATTTTGGCTGGCATAGAGCTCATCCTTTGGTGCTGAGATAGCTGAAGTCTCTGGGATGCTGGGCAATGCTGTCTTCTGACTCCGCCCAGCAAATCGTGCCGCGTGTCTCAGCGGCGGCGTAGGAAAATGCACATCGTTGTATTCTATCGGCTCTTCGCCAATATCCGTTTGGGACGCTGCAGTGGGGATCTTATTCGCATCATTATCCTCGTTGCGCCCTTCTACTGCAAAGTCTCGCCGCACAACGGACTCAAACGTTGGTTGGGTAGGCTTCTCTGCAGTTGGCGTCTCGACGTCGGGTTCTGCACTTGCTGATTTGATTCGGGAAGGGAGATCGTCGAGGTGAAAGGGCTCAATCGGCGTATCACTTGACTCGGTATCCAGGGTCTCGGTCGACTTCTCTGACTGCATTATCGACATTCTACGGAGTCTGTACGCCTCCAATTGACTCGGTGTAAGCATCTCATCCACCTCGATCCTGCGGAAGAATTTCCCGCTGAATAATTCCGTCACATTATCGGACAATGCCCATCCTGGCCCGCTTTTCGTCGTCGACTTGGCTGCGGCCCCCTTCCGAGACGGCCTCATTGACCTCGCTTTCTTTGCCTTCTTAGACTTCTTCCTCTTAATTCCGCCAGGCACAGATGTATTTCGTTTAGACGAGCTGGCCGGGGAAGCGGCGACTTGAAGTTGCGGACTCGGCATTCGGGTCCGAGAGTCTAGAGATGTGGGTTTTAGAATAGGCGATGAATCCGGTGTAGGAAGTCGTGGTAGTTGTTTGAATGTGCTCTCTGCGAGTTGTGCTTCTGTAAGACCGATAGCTTTAAAAGCCTCGTCCGCCTCTTCTATGAGTTGTTGGATGTTATTAGTAAGGCTTGCGGATGACTGTTGCCGCTGCACTTGTTGCTTTG